ACCTGTAATCTGCTTTAGGTGCTTTAACACCAGTTACATAGAATAGAATTGAATAGATGAGCTTTATTGATCTCACAGCGGAGAAATTCACTCCTCACATATTGGCATAGTAATTAAAGAAGGTGTAAACAAGGAGGAAAAGGTGCATTAAGAATAATAAACAATATATATATATATATATATATATATATATATATATATATACAGTATATCCAGGTATATACAGTATATAAAGATAAATAAGGATTAAGGTGCAAGTGTACATGTATTGCATACAATGAAAAACAAAACAAAAATAAAAACAAGAAATAAAAAATAAAAAGATTTAAAAAAAATACAAGGTAGTAGCACAGAGGTTTGAGGTGACATATGTACAATCCAGATGGCTTATATACAGGTGGATTTACTTTAACATTAAGTGTAGTCGGTGAGGAACAACGGTGAGGTAGTGGTATGACTATTTTATTCACATATATAAAGGATATAATGATCTGAGAAAAAAACTGACACATCTATGGACAATAGACTCAGGGATTTTGAACTTGTTTTTTGCTTTTTTATAATTTGCAAGGTAAATCGTGGTTTGAACTATGTAATACTGTAGTACCGAAGTGAAAATGTTGGTTTTTAAGGTTTTTATGATGGTAAAAAACTGCAGGTAAGATGGGTAAATATTTATGTTTTATTCGTGATGAGAAGAGGGGAGTCCAGGTGTTGTACTTGACCCTCATTCCCCTAATTCAACATGAGGCATTTTGGTACCAGATTATACAGCACCATGTTACTCTAACAGCCTTAATGGATTCTGCTTGTGAAATGATCAAAAGTAAATATGAATCCCCCTCTATTCTGTGACCTGGGCAGGAATCCTCCTTGTTTGTTCCCTTTGCCATCGGATAGTCCTGACATTTTCATTGCTGAGTGGTCAGCAGGGTCAGGGAGATCATGTTGGATTAGGCTTTGAAGGGGGATGAAAGAGAGTAAACATCTGATAATGGCTGCTACCAGGCTGCCAGCCCTAGAAGGTGTGCACTGAGGAGATTTGATGTCCTCTATCAGAGATAAGAGTTCGTTAAACTATACCAATGTCTACCAAATGTCACTATTAGGGGAATGTTAGGAAGCAATCTGTTAAAAAAATTAGCAAAAGAATATTATTTTTTATTTATTTATTTATTTATTTATTTTGGTAATTGTTTCTCGATTTGTTTATTATCAATGCTCAAATGAAAACTTCAACAGGTTATAAGAAAAATCTTAAATATGGTCAAGAATGACGTGTTTTTTATTGATCTATGTTCTCACCATTACTTCTGAAAAAAGAACAAACTAAACAGAAACTAACACAGATGAGCACTCAGTCATGTTGAGCAATACAAATTCTAATATCTTTTTTTGAAAAAAGGGAAACTCTTTATGTATAGAACAAAAGCTCCAGTCATTTTGCTCTAAAGTGGAGCTGGAGAAGCCTTGGACTGAAGACACTGTTTTGTTTTTTTAACAGTCTGAAGAAGAGGATCGTCCTCAATTTTTTTCATTCTATGAAGAATTCTTTGTGAAATCCTCTTCAAACGATTTAAGGAAGTTCTTCTGAGTTTTATTTTCTTAATTTCCAAAAAAGCATTATAAGAGGTTTTTAATGAGGAATTGCTTCTTATGCATGGTCACAAATTATAGGAACAGAAATCTGTCTGGACCACATTCAATAACTTTTTCATCCTTAAGACTCATTTCCCCCTTGGTCAGCAAACACATTCTTTTCAGAGCTGCAAGGGCAATCCGACTCTAAAAACAAAAAACGTTTGTTTAAACAGAACAGACAACAGCAAACTGATTGTTAAATTAAATAACAATTTTATTTATTTATTTATTTTAATTTTAAAAAATGTCAACGTTGAATACAAGATATAGGCCTTTCATCCTTTTATTTCTAAGCGCTTTTCTGAAAGTAGAAATAACACAGAATGTTTTCTGACAAAGCTTTAACAATCCCTTCTGAAATTCATATAATATGAATTAAAGTTTTAATGTGTCACATCTTTGGATTAGCACCTCTTGGCGTTCAGAACTGTTTGCAGGAGATAATTGGAAATGGTCAGGTCTTGTGGACCTACTGTCCTCAGGGACCCTTGATTTTAATTGTAGGAGCACAGTAAAACAAAGGGGTCAGTAACGGGCATGCCATGCGTATTGGGAATTGGGTATATAAACTAAGGAGGAGGAAGAATCTGGAGAGAAATATAAAAATTACATCTTTGGGTACTGAGGCATTGGACCCTTCATTCAGTTACAACAGCATACTTTAAGAACATCTCATCTTTAAGGTGTGAGAGCTGAAGGTAAGATGATTTCCAGTCAATTGTTGTAACGGAAACCTTCCCTTGGCCAGACTTAACATCTTATCTGTCAAGCAAAATATGGTGTACCTAATTTAAGGTTTGAGAGCTTGTATGGTGGGAAAAAAAGTCAAGAATAGAAATTAGAACATCAATATAGCATACTTTGGGATTATTTTCAAAAAATGTTTACGTTTGTTATCAATGGAAAAGCTAGATTAAAAAGAACTTTAGCTGATAGAAAATTTTAGCATGAATGTTTTTCCTTTATGTCTTTCAGGTGTGAGAATCATGTCCCGACTGGTTTTGATGCTGGTGCTGCTCGTGTGTGTTGGCGCTCAGCTCTCCTGCGCCCAGCACTGGTCCCATGGCTGGTACCCCGGTGGGAAAAGGGAGCTGGACTCCTTTGGGGCATCAGAGGTTAAAAACAATGTTTGCTCTTTTACAATTTTTCAGTCATTATGTCATTATTTGGGAATATTTAGCTTTATGTTTGTTTTATGTATGTTTTTTTTTTTCTCATGGTCAGACCCCCACTCTGTTTTTTTTTATGTTTTCTTTAGATGTCAGAGGAAATCAAGTTGTGTGAGGCAGGAGAATGCAGCTATTTGAGACCGCAGAGGAGGAATACCCTGAGAGACATTGTTGTAAGTGAACAGAAATTAAAAATGATTTAATTTGGAAATAAACAACACTGTATTTTAAGCAATAAAATATAAACCACTCCTTGTTTTTAGGAAAAATGTGCCTCAGCCTAACATCTTGATAAATGACTCTCTTCACAGTTGGATGTGTTAGCCAAAGAGCTCCAGAAGAGAAAGTAGAAGTGTCCCATCACTATTATGCTTTTTATTTTTACCTGCGACTTTGTCCTCCTGTGTTATTGACCTGCAGTAATTCTGTTTTTTTTCCTTTTAAATATGTTTTCTGTGGCAAACCAAAGTGGAAGTTGTGATAGCCCGAAATAAAGTGTCTATTTTGATACTAACCTGATTGTGTGATTACCTTTAATTAGGGCCAGCCCAAGGCATAAGTGAGCTAAGCGACTGCTTAGGGCCCCAGGACAACTAGACCCCCCAGGAACATTTCCTTATTTTTTTTCATTATTATTATATTTTTTTTTACTATGTATTTTTCTGTGCATTTGAATTTATTGTTTCTATTTAGGGAAGCAATTTTAGTTGGGTTTTTTGTTGTTCTTGAACTACAGGTTATTTTTGCACATTGCTGTTGCAGTTTAGAACCAAAACTTTCAAACCACATGACACATTAAATGTAAATAAACTGCGTACTACTTTATTTTACTTTTTACACTAAATAATGAATACAGAGACAGAAAATAGCCTAACAAGAGCTTCAATTCATTCATATTTATAGCTGTGGGTAAATGATCTGATTAATGCACTGGTGAGTGCAGAAATAGATATTATTGCCAGACACAGAGGGCCTCAAAATCAAACTGCGTTTAAGGCTCCAAGGAGACGAAGGCCAGCTCTGTATTAAATGTTTTTGAACCCTCAAAGTATTGTGCGCATAGTGTGAAAAGTAAAATATCCAAAAACAGGCTAACAAATAAACAAGAAGTCCACAAAATCTACAGAAGATAGATGACTTACTCTAATGTAGGGGGTTTTTTTTGCCCTCAAATTCTAATAATGAAACAATAATCATACAGTAACTTGTAAAGTAAGTTTGATTATAAAGAATATTTATTTTCAGTGATAATAGATTATATACAAGGACCATGAGAATAAGGGTTGAAGAACAAAACTACTTATAAATACATACATACATACATACATACATACATACATACATACATACATACATACATACATACATACATACATACATACATACATACATACATATATATATATATATATATATATATATATATATATTTATATATATATATATATATATATATATATATTATATATATATATATATATATATATATATATATATATATATATATATATATATATATATATATATATATATATTTGTCTTTATTTAGAAAATATGGATCTTTTGCTCATTAATTTTCCTGTTTAAACAGTTTAGATTGACCACAAAGTTTTGGTACCTATCTACTTTTGGCCACCCCTCAGTTGAAATTGGTTATTGCCTTGCCACCCTCATAAAATTTTCTGGCTATGCGTCGCCTCTGCTCCTTCCACCTTCAACATTTTGTTCTGGACCATCAATTAACCAAATTAACCTAAAAAGTACCAACAGACTAATCAAGACAACTTAAAAAAAAAAAAAAAAAAAAAAAAAAGCTAAGTGACTTGCTAAAGTTTAACCAAAGTTGTAAAACATTCTTCCCTAACAACGAGTATGAAACCACAAGAAACACTATATAACAATCTATATAATAAAATGAAACTCAGCAAAACCTTAAGAGTCGTGTTTATGATAAAAATTTTGCCCACCATTTTGAACGTATTTGTTTCCCTTTTTTAAACTACTCTAGTATATAAAGGATTTTGATTGAATATTATAAAAAATATGTAATGAGAATAGTGTTCAAGCAAGTTTTGTCTAAATAAAATACTAGAGAAAAACACTTAGCACAATAATTTTGTGATCTCTGCCTATAAATATGTCGCTTCACTTCATTCAGTGGTCAATTTCTTGCGCATGCGCTGTTAGCTGCGGACAAAGATGGAGGCCTCTGTCTATTCTCTGCTGTGTGCGGAGGAAGACACTAAAACTAACATCTCTAGTTCCCCTAATGCGACTTCTAGTACAGGTTCTGAAAAAGTAATAAACAGTAAAACTGATAGTACCCTGGTTAAAGGTGAGTTGTAACTGGACTTTAAACATTGAGCCGTTTTATGCCCTTACTTTCCTAACTCCCGTTAGCTTCCTGAGCTAGCTGGCTAGCATTCAAGCTAGTTAGCTCCTTAAAGCTAAGGAGGCTAACGTCAGCTGTTGAGCAGAGAAAGTGCTTCTTGTTTTTTTTTTATTTTTTTATTACGCCTTTTACCACAGAACTTACAAATTTGGTCCAATAAAATTTGTTATCCACATTCATAGTATAAAGACTGAATATTAGCAAAGCTGACGGATGATTTTTATCCTCAGAAAACCTCTAATCCTGAAAAATGTTTGACCGGATTATTAAAAAAAAATTAATAGAAAGGGGAAAGAAATGTTTTGAATTAATTCAATCGACTAAAGCCATAATTTGTAGTAAAATGTCAAACTTAGTGTTAAACAGCTTCTGTCAATTTTTAAAATGTGGCTGTTTGACAGCTACTCGATCTATCCAGACTGACCTGATGCAGATACAATAAACTGTTGATTGACCTGTTAAAGTACTATTCATATTACACCCTATTTTAGTAAATATTAATGCACCAGGGAGCACATTTTGATCCCTATCTAAATAAGTTTTATGAGATCTGTATCATTAATAACTTTAGTTTGCTGTAGTGTAGTACTAAGTTAAGGATATTTTTATGCAGTGTATTCCATACTTGCATCTGAGCTCTAATTACCCATTTATGTAATTCAGGTGTGTGGATGCATTTCATTTCAAATAAATTTAAGATAAGAAAATAATCACCATGGTCTAATTGCTAGCGATTTTAAAGTATTAGAGTAAATTTCCTCTTGTAACTATTCTGTACTTTATAGAGTAACAGAATTACAACAAGATTAAATTATCGTGCTAATTAGATTTGATTCTTTAAGGGTTATCTTCGTAAAAGATAAATTGCACTGTTTTATTCTCCACAGCTTGACTGTTGTATACAACATTCATAATTAACTTTAAGAACAACACCTGTATGTCTTTAAATGCACAATATGTACAACAGTTTGTGGCAACATTACTCTGATCCGTGGTCACACGGGGTTTCCCTTGTTAAGGGGTCTAAAACTGTAGGAAAAACGGTAAAGAAAGTTTTTTTTTTTTTTTTTTTTACCTTTTTCCCTCTTAACATGTTAGGTTATGTATATAATACAACATATAACTAAATATATCAAGTTTATTCAGTTAAATAATAAAATATTTGGAAAATGTAACAAAGTCCTGAAAAAGGACAAGTATTTTTTATTGATTTATGTCATTATTCTTTTGTGTGTTTAGAGGCAGTATTACATGATATATAAATAAAGTTTGTTGTGGAAAAGTGACACCAAACACCAATTTATTAAGCCCAACCATCTGAATGTATTCTTCAAAGGACACAAGAACAGGATTATGTTGGCACCATTGGTTCCATGTTTGCATGATGCTTATGTTTAAAGAAAGTCTTAACCTTTTAAACAGCAGAGAGAAAAACATAGCAACAGACTGAGATGATACCAGTGTTTTTATAAGGAAATGCATTGTGAAATCATACACTTCCTGTGTGGTATTTAGTGTTTATCAGCTGATGATTCATTTCCCATTAAATGCCAAATAAGAATCAAATCTTATAGTTTTCCTTCCTGTTATACCATTAGCCTACTTATGGTAAAATTAAAAAAACTTTAAGTAACTGATGAAGGTCCATTTTTATTAAGAGGTAGGTTTTTTTAATGTCTGAGGTATGTATGACAAAAGATTGAGGCATTTATACAGAAATATTGTCCTCACATTAAATCAGAGTAAAATAGTGATAACATTTTAAGCTGTTCTAAAATGTAAAGCAAATAGTTATTTTTTTCTGCTAGTATTCCAAGTAAAAAAAAAAAAAATATATATATATATCTATATATATATATAGATATATATATAGATATATAGAGATATATTTGTGTGTGTGTATTTGAGCTCACTGTATGCAATTTGAAAGTTCTTGATTATTTACTACTTTTCTAAATGGGTTTAAAAAATTAAAGACAGTTTTCCTGTCCTGTATAGATAAAATCTAAAGTCGGCTGACATTTTAAGTTTGTTAAGACACACCTGTAAGTTCTCATTGTTAACAAAATGTCCTCAAATGTCTCTTTATTAGAGATTTAATGAAGAAGCTCGTTCAGCATAATTTTTTGTTGCTTCATGCATTTTTATTTGTCCTGGTTAAATTTTTTTTAATGCCGTTTTGTCATGCAGAACAGAAAAGTGACGAGGAACTACTAGAGGGTCTCCTCACAGAGTATTATTGCCATGTTTGCTCTTCTAACCTGTTGTTTGAATCCAATCGGCTGGCCCATTATAAGGTGAGCGTGGCTGACCAAGTCATAGTTGTGGATTTTTTTATATAAATGTATTGACCATTTCGATTGGATGAATTTTGGTAGTAATGCCCTGTATATGCTCCAACTTCAGGGGAAAAAACATGCTCAGGAGGTCAAAAAATATCTGAGCGCCGTGAGAGCAGAACTGGCCAGAGGTGGTCAGGTTTGTACTGGTTAACTTTTTTTTTTTCTGTTTTACTTTGTGGCCGAATCTGCCATTCTGTAGAAATGGCAGCATTTACATTACGTTTATTTACCTAAAATGTTGAATGCAGAACTACAGACACCGTTTTAAGTTTTGGATATTTTGTCAATATGTGTTTTTATAGGTTTTCCTGGTGATAGACCAGCAGAAATTCGGATATAATCACACAAAAACATGTTTTCATAAATAGATGTTTTTTTAAATTTTTATAAGGGAGACTCTGGGAAGTGTGGCGTGCATTTGTATTCTGAATCCTAGTTAAAACTTGTTAGAATAACCTTTTTCCTCACGTTTTTTTAAAGCACGTTTCTGCCCACTTTAGCACATCCACAGGCTAAAACATATTCCCTTTCCTTTTTACAAAATAGCTTAAAGATATAGTGGAGGATGTTCTTTATCCAGGTGGATCATCAAAATAAATGGTCCTCCTAATTGTCAATCATTCTGGTGATATGTTTACGTAAGACCGTCCTGCGTGCTTGTTCTTATTTTCACTTACCGGCGGTGAGTTTGACATAGTGGAAAAATTGCAAATCTTTTGGAAAGTAAGCAATGCAAACAGCAACTTTTAAACAGAGCGTGCACGAGGAGAAATGGGCTCGTGCATGCTCTTGCATGTGTTCAATAGGCGTTCGCTCTCGGGAGCAGGTATAGTGTTGTGCATGTGGAGAGGGCGGGTCTTTTCGAAAATTTGGGAAAATCACCACTATACCTTTAAGCTCAGTCAGATTAGATGTAGAACCTTAAGTCCTAAATCATATTCTTCATTAAATTTCTTTCTGAACTTTGGTTAGATCATTCTAATACATATATTCTGATCTAAATCATTCTTTTGTAGAGAGTAAACCTCCACACCACCTCAAAATCAGTGGTAGCATCCAACAGTTTTATAATTTCTTAACTGCTGCTGTATTCAGCTGCATCTGTTGTCCCACAGTGCAAGAATCTACAAATAAGTAAAAATTTCTTTAGTGTATTTACTTAGTTTGAGCTGATAAATAAGTTGATTTGCAAATGGAATATTATTTACACTTAAAATAAGATAATCAGATATTATGCACTTGAAATAAGACAATGAAAATATTTTTTTCTAACTTTATATGTAAATCTACTTGTTCTCTTGGCCAAGTGTCTCACTTACCTCTGCAATTCAAGAACAAATGCATTTATTTTAAGAAGAAATTACTTATTTAGAGTTACATTTTTTTGCAGTGCATCAACAACATCTGCTAAAAAGAAGCGTCTTCCACTTCATAAAGCAACTACTGACATGTTGCAGAGTGGGGGTGATATGTTCATAGTGTTGTGATGTTTCCTACCACAACCTTTTCCAGAATAATATCTGACCACTTTCAACTCCTTCCACAGATTTGTTGTTCTGCTCACACAGCTATGATAATTATACGCAGAAATCTTTCAGCAAAGTCCTTTTTTTTTTTCTTGCATCCTTTACATCTTGTGGATCATCGGATAACTGCAGCTCCTCCATGTAAAAAAAAAAGAAAAAAAAAAAAAAAAAAAAGCATTGTCTTAAAACAATATGAAGAAAATTGCTCCCTAAACAAGTGAAATATCTGGTCAGGCAGACAAAAAGCTTCATTTAGCCTTTATTAAATGAGTATTATTCTCTAAAGTAATACATTTAGAATAATAAAGTAACTTTCAAAACAAAACAAAATTGTCTAACCCTTCTAAATCTAAGTTAGTAAGAGCCAATTAATTTACAGTGATCCTCTTCTTCTTCTCTTACCATGGCAGGTTTGTAGTTCTGCTATTCTATTTTCTATAGTTTTTGTTAAAAAGAGAATCTATGTCATTGTTTTCATTACACTTTACTCCTGAATGTCAGTGAATAGGAGCCAGTATATAAATGCACGCCATAGTTTTATCAGTTCATATTTAGAAGTCTTCTTTTTCATTTTTTTTTTTACATATAATACATTATTTAAAATTTTAAAGCAACACTATTTAATCAGCGTACAGGAACAACAACAATAACGACATTGTAGTCATTTAAACTTCTGGACTATTGTAGCAGTATTGTGACTTAAGTATGCAGGCAATTCCTAGAAGATTAAATATTTGATACCATTAACCAGGCTTTTAGCTAGGAATATTTCATAGGTTGTACACCTTGGTGTACCACATCTTTAGGCTTTGCTAAGCACAGGGTGGTCTGGGGGTATCCTCCCCTGGAAAATTTTGAAATTTAGACTCTCTAAAATGCTATTTCCTTTATTTTGACGTGGAATGCAGCTAACTTTTTGTTATAACACTACATTTGTCCTGATTATGGGAACTGTGTGTGCTTGGCTAGAGGGGGAAATTCCATAAGGAAGACATGATCAATCAGAGCTCTCACCAGTGCTGTGTCCATCTCCCTGCCAGCTCGCAGATCTGCTTCTCTGATAGATGTGGCACATCGAGGAGCAAAAATAAAATTTTTCCAACTCCAGCAGCTGCTGCTGGTGAAGTTTTGAACATTTGAGCGAAGTTTCCAGGGGAAAAAACGGGGCATGCCAAAGCCATACATCCCAAAAACAGGGTGTACAATTTTTATATTTTTAGTAAATGGCCAATACGCATTATTAGCTAAAAGCCTGCTATTAACTGGCCCCATGCTCGGTTGACCTAAACGCAAGAGAACATGTAAGCCCAACATTGTCAGAAATGATCCATTATTGAATAATCGTCAACTAATTGAGTATATGAATAATAATTTTAGCTAAATAGAGTAAATGGACTCAATAAAAAATCCATTTGCTAAAACAGAAATCTACTCGGTACAAAATAGGCCAAAACTGCCTCTAAAATAACACCTGAACTTAAGCTGCAGTTTAAATCTACATGACCAGTGTCTGCACTGCAAATTGTAAAAGACTTTGAAAGCACCACGATCCTGCTTAGATGTAAGAACTGTCCCTCCTGCAGTGCACTTAGAGGAGGGTCTGGTTCTGTTCACCATATTTGTTTGAAGTTTTTTATTTGTGTGGGAAAAAAAATACAAAGATAGTATATCTACTTAGGTACACTGTAAGCTTTCAATTGTATTCAGATAACATGTTTCTTTGTTGTCAAAAAGAGAACTTTTAAAATCCAGAATGCAAAACAGCAAACAGATACGTTTAGGCACTTTAATTTAACCAAAGGCTGAACATTTGAGCTTAGAATCAGATACGTCCTTTGCTTCAGAAATAATTGTCTACTAAAGATACGCTGCGTTATTTGAATTTACATAAACAGTTTTTTTTACCCATTTGCTCAGTTGAATAGAATATATTAAGAATAAACAAAAAATTTTTTATCCAGTTCAATTACTCTTCAAAATATTTGATAGATTATTAAATTACAAAAAGAAATGAGCTGCAGCCCAAATATAAAATATTGATTTACTTCAAACTGAGCCCTCTGTTGGTTGATTTTTTTCATCTTTTGTAAAATGTTGTAGAATCCTTGTCTTCCTATGTGTCACTCATTCCATATTAGTTTCAAATATTCAGTGTACAATGAAGTTTGTGCCTGAAATGCTACAGAATGTGAAACAAATTAAATGTCATGTTTAGAGGGAACCAAGTAATTGCAGATCTATTATTTGTCATCTTTGTTGTACTTTTAGTATTGTTTCTGTCAGATAACACAGTCTTGTCTCCTGGCTGCTGGGTTTCTCCCACAGAACATGGTCCGTGATAAAAACCGTTTCTGTGATCTGTGCAACATTGTGTTTAATTCACACATAGTCGCAAAGTCCCACTACGAAGGCAAAATCCATGCAAAAAATCTGCGTAAAAAAAGTCTGCCAAAAACAGGCAAGTGGTTTCTGTTTCTTTTCTTCTTTTATTTTATTTCAGAATTAAATTTGCAAATTAACCTGAACTTTTTTCTACTGAATTCAGAAAAAGGCACAGCTGTCCAAACTGAGCAAAGTATCACCCCCGATCTGTTAAACTGTGAGCAGAATTCGTTTCAGCAGCGTGACCTGGACATTGATCCTGATCCGACAGGGACCTCAAGCATCCCGGATGCCTCAGTCTCGTCTTTGACAGAGGTTGATATTAAAGATCCTGAAAAGTACTGCGCCCTTTGCGCTGCCTCTTTTAACAGGCCTGAGATGGCCCTGCAGCACTACAATGGACTTAAACACCAGAGACGAATAGCCCAACAGAAGCTCCTCAAAAACCTTGGAAAGGATGTGCAGCCAGGTATCACAGGGCATTTGATATTGATCACAAAAGGAAATAAAAGGTGCATTAGATCCTACTGTATTGTATTATAATCTACTGTTGCCTTCACACTTTTTGTTGCCAGAAAGCTCTTTAATGTGCAATATCTGCAATGTGTCATTCAACTCTGTGAAAGTGTACCAGACTCACATGCAGGGAAACAAACACCAGATCAGGTAAGTTCAAAATTTATTTTGTTTTTGGTTTATTTTTAAAGTATCATTTAAAAAAGACATACAAAGTATCCAATCAGGTTAGCAGATTCTAGATAATTAAAACACATTCCATTTTATCCTGGTTAGCCAACGTCTAAACAAGTTCAGTTTATTGTTCGAACTTCTTAAAAGCAAGTTTTCTGTCTAATCAAACCCAGTGGATTACATCAACTCACTGACTCACAAGATTGACAACTCCTGGAAAAGAAAACTATGTTGTTTTATGTTGAGCTGCTCTAAGATGTAGATTTTAGAGATCGGAGCAGTTTACTTCAGGTTGTTTTTTTTTTTTTTTTTTTTTTTTTTTTTATCAAATTCTGCAACTTTTATGTTTCCTAACTTAAATCAGTCCGTAATAACATTTTCCAGACAGTTACCTGCCACATAAGATCCAGAGGTCTGGATTGGTGAATGAATCAATCAGTCTATTAACGATAATGATCCAATAATACTATAGGATGGATAAGTAAAAAAAATCATACATTGTGATTTCTGGATTTTCTTTTTAGATCACATCTCTCACAGTAGACATGCACCTACGATGACAATTTCAGACCCCTGGATGATTTCTAAGTGGGAGAACTTGCAAAATGGCACGTTGCTTAAATACTTGATTTCCTCACTGTAAATGATGGGAGGATGATGGAAGCTAAATTCTGAGCAGTCATGGAGGAAAACCTTTTAGAAGCCGCCAACACCATTACACCGAGGCAGAGGTTCCCTGCCAGCAATATTGCTGAACCTTGTTATCACAAACAAACTAGTTTAATGTGGTAATTTACAGAGTGCCCAAAAGGCTTGCATGAAGAACTGATAATTTAAGAATTATTAAATTAAGTTCAATTCAAAAATACTTTATTAATCCCAAAGGGAAATAAAATGTCTTTTGTCTTTTATTTTTCTGTTGTCATCACTATATACTCAGGAGGAAACTTATTTCCACCTTGAGAGAATAAACGTGAAAATCTAAATAAATCCTCTGAGTTTAGGAGATTGAATCTTTGTTTTCGGCACCTCAAGGGCCTCATCTGATGTCAGGATCCCTCAGCTGGTGTTTTAAAAACTTCATCACTTATCTCCCACAAAATACACAATGTCCTAATTTTCAGTCCACGTCAATATTTTACATTTCATGTTGTGTTTTATCTAAAATCCCTAAAAGTAGGTTGATACAGTAGTTCTCTGTCTACATAATATTTATTTGATATTCTGCTGTAATGTGGTACATATTCACGTCACAGAAAATAAACCTGACCTTTGTTTCTTTGTTGTTGATCAGGGAGGGGAAGCTGAAAGACGTTCTTAAATCTCAGTCAAAGGTCTTTGGCACATTCGCAGATGAACTGGCAGATTACATCCAAGTGCAGAAGGCCCGAGGAATCACCCCTAAGACCAGTCAGGTTCTCCCTGATGAAGAAGCACAGAACAAAGATGAAGAAGAAGACAAAGTAGTGCAGCATGAAGAGTCAAATCAGTGTGATTTGACAGGAACACCTGTTCCTTTTCCTAACTTACCTCAACCTTTCCCCCCTCCTCTTCAGCCTATCCCAGGAACATGGTTTCCTTTCTATCCAGTCCCATCATGGCCTCCCTTTGGCTGGCCCTACAACCTTCCCCCTCCTGTCCTCCCCTGCCCAGGTTCCACACAGTTTGCCAGTTGGCCCACAGATGGAGAACACCAAAGACAACTCTCTACTTCCTCCACTTGTTCCTCCTCAACCTATTCTGATCGTAGCTGTGGCGCTAGTGATAGTGATGAATGTGAACAGAGGACAATAAAGGGGAGGAAAACGAAAAGACACCGAAAGGATGGAGAACGTGAAGGAGATGAAGATTTAAACACAGAGGAAAGGAGGAGAAAGAGACGGAGGATGGAGACGGGTCATGACTCAGAAGAAAGGAGAGGTGAGGAGTCATGGGAGGAGCTGAGGGGGAAAAAGCTCAAAAGTCGCCGTAAGCGGACACAAAAACAGAAGACATTTCAGCAGGAGGACTTTGAAGTTGACCAAGAAGGAGTCCCCACTGAAAGACTACATTCACGGAGCAAGAGTGAACATAGTAAGTCAACCAAAGCCAGAAAAGAGAAAAAGAGGATTAAAGACAGTAGGACAGAGGAGGAGAAGTTGTGGGATGACTCCATTCTGGGCTGTTAAATGAACACTAACAAGTCTTATTAACTTATACTACGGTCATGTTTGTGAAATATAACGTTTGAATTAATATAAAAGAGCTGTATGACTTTATAATTATTAGCAGCATTAAAAAAGATCCTAAAGATGTAATAAGCTAGCTGGCTAGCTGTATTTGTAAGGAATGAATGGTTTTCCTTAGATCAGTGTTAGTAGAGGTGCAATGTGTACTGTTAATAATCACTCATTACCTGTAATCTATTGCATGCTCCTGAAAGGTTTACAATTGTTTTTATTTTGCTAGTCATGCTGATGTAATCATAATTTGAAACACTTCATATTCTTTTGATTAATATTTCACCAATCAAAACTGTAAAAGAGTGTAGAACCTGGAGTCCCCTCAGGTTGGCTAATAGCGCAATCTTTCCAATAAAGATGCGTTTGGCTCTTGGTTCAGAAGCATCCAAGTTAGACTCGCTTGAGATCTGTTAGATGTTGTTTAATGTGACCATGTAATCAGCAAACTTTCTTTCCTCTTGTTCAAAACGCTTTATTTTCCAAAATCAAAACAAACTTAAATTTTCTTACCGCAACATGACGTGACAGGCAGATCATTTCGGCTCATTTCGTTGCTTTTTTGCCACTCAAAGAAAACAACAATAATCATCAGAAGCGGTCAAAAACTGTATGGCTGCGTTGACTGAATCCAAAAGCTCACCCGGCCCCAATAGCCAACTCCAATATAATCCAGGTGCTGCAGTCACCTGTCCATAATGAAGGGGCGGAGGCGAGAAACAACGTAAATTATGAATGGCAGCAGAACACAACTAAACAAATTCATAATTTCATAATTAAGTCAGTCAACTTATACTTCAAACCAAAATATTTCATGTTCATATATATCATACCAAAACCAGACAAAAAAAATAGTAAACTAGAAATAAATATTCAATCATAAATCAAGCATTTGGCTCCAACATTCCGGCCCCTAATTGGCATGCAGGTACAAATGTCAATTACATAAAACAAAATAGAGGAGCCAAAGTCTCTTTTTTTTTTTTAAGTCTGTAAGTCTTCAAGTCAATTGTGTGTATGTTTACACTTCAGTCTCCACATGAAGCCTCCAGGAGAAGAACAAGCTTTGTTATAGGTCGACGGAGAGTGTTGGTCTTGGTCCGAACTTGCACCTGTCTTACAAATCCCTTGGCATCCGGAAAGGTTTCCGTTACTCGCCCCATTGAAGAACCTCTTGGAGCTGTATCGTCAATGATCAGGACAATATCCCCTTTTTCAAAGTTTTGTGTTTTCCTTGTCCATTTGTTCCTTTGTTGTAGTTCAGGCAAATATTCCTTTATCCACCTCTTCCAAAATAATTCTGCCATGTACTGAACTTGACGCCATCTTCTCCTGCTGTAGGAATCTTCTGGGCAGAACACTCCAGGTGGTATGGAAGGGTTTGTTTTGAGAAGTAGGAGATGGTTTGGTGTCAAGGGTTCCAAATCCATGGGGTCGTTTGATGATTTTGTGATTGGTCTGTCATTGATGATAGCCTCCACCTCGCAGAGTAAGGTGACGAGTCCTTCGTCGTCCAATGTTTGTTGGTTTAGGAGAGCACTGAGAATTCGTCTTATAGAACGAATTTGTCTCTCCCAGACTCCTCCATGGTGAGATCCTGCAGGTGGATTAAACAGCCAAGAGATGCCTTTTTTCAGTGCAGCAGTTTGAATCTGGGAATTGTTTAGAGTTTTTACAGCCTCACGGAGTTCACACTCTGCTTTAACAAGGTTGGTCCCATTATCTGACCTCATGACTTTAACAGGGCCTCTTCTGGAGACAAATCTTCGGATTGCATTAATGCAGGAACCAGTATTGAGATTATGTGCAATCTCTATGTGAACTGCCCTGATAGTGAGACATGTAAAAACAACTCCATATCGTTTGACAGTAGACCTTCCACGCTTTATGTTGAATGGGCCAAAGAAATCTACACCCACGTTGGTAAAAGGCGGTTCATCTGGACTGACCCTTTCCTTTGGTAAGTCAGCCATGATCTGCTCACCTTTCCTTACATTCATCCTCTTGCAGGGAACACATTTGGCGATCACCTTTCGAATTGCTGAAGTAGCTCCTGGAATCCAAAACTTTTGTCGCAAACGCGACAGAGTGTGACTTCTTCCATTGTGTCCAATATTCTCATGAATGTATCTAATGATGAGCTGTGTTACATGGTGGTTCTTTGGCAAGATAACAGGGTGTTTGGATTCTGATGGCATAGCAGACTTGCTTAATCTGCCACCAACTCTCATTAGTCCCTCCTGCAGAATTGGTGATAGTTTAAGGAGATGGCTGCTAGATTTCACAGCATTTCCTTTCCTTAAGGCAGTCATCTCTTCTGCAAAGTTTGTTTCCTGCAAGAACATGATGATTGCATCTTCTGCTTCTTGTAGTTCTTGCACAGAGAGAACTTGTTTTTCCTGTTTGTCCCTTTTATTTCCAAGAATATCCTTTTTCTTTGCAATAGCTGATGCCAGTAGAGCTTTGAAACGAAGAATCCAGGCTACTGCTCTTTTAAGGCGGGTACCAGTCAGAATACCACAACAGTATCCTACTAACAGCATTTCCACTCTCTTCTAGAACAGCAACGTTTGATACAAGCACTTTAATTTCTGGATCTTCAGGAGTGAGAATCAAATCTGAATCTGGTGTCTTGGGCCATTCCGATTCAGGTAGCTGAAGAAACGCTGGGCCTGAAATCCAAGTCATATGGTTTAAGAAGCTGGGTACAGAAACTCCTCTTGAAGCACAGTCAGCAGAATTCAGGCTGCTGTTCACATACCTCCACTGAGAAACATTGGAAGCAGATCTAATGGTTTCGACTCGATTGGCGACAAAGGTCTTAAATCTAGAAGTCTCATTCTTTATATATTTTAGCACTGATGTGCTGTCAGTCCAAAAGACTGATGGTACGAGAGGTACTTCAAGCTCCTCTTGTAACATCCGATCCATTCTCACAGCTACAGTTGCAGCTGTGAGCTCCAACCTTGGGATGGTTACAGGCTTTAGAGGAGCCACTCTAGCCTTGCCAATAACAAAGGCTAAGTGAACTTGTTGGTATTTATTTGTCATCCTCAAATAGGAGACCGTGCCATAGCCATTTTCGCTTGCATCAGCAAAATGGTGGAGTTGTGCTGAGTCCAGTTGTCCAAAACAATCAGGTTTGAGGCATCTCTTAACCTTGTAGTCTTTCAGCAAATTCATGTTTCTTAACCAGTTAGACCATTTTTGATGGAGACTTTCAGGAATCCTCTCATCCCATCCAAGCTTTAAATGGCAGAGTTCTTGTAAGATCTGTTTAGCAGGAAGGATGACTGGAGCAGCATTCCAAGTGGGTCAAAAATCGAACTAACCATTGATAAGATCCCACGATGAGTAAGTGGCTTGTCTTGGAGCTGAATTTTGAATTTAAATGAGTCCGTCTCAGTGCACCATTGTACACCTAGTGCTCGTTCGACAGGCAAGATATCTTGGTCAAAATCCAGGTCTCTGATTTCCTTGGCTCGGTTCTCCTCAGCTATGGAGAGAATCGGTGTTTTGCTATTGCTGATCCACTTGTTCAGCTTAAAACCTCCTCTGGCACATAAAGTACTCAGGTTTGATGCGAGCGTCAGGGCTTCATCGTCATTTTCTACAGATTTGAGACAATCGTCTACGTAGAAGTTTCTAAGTATTGTAGAGATGGTTTCTGAGTTGAAGTCCACCAAGTTCTCCTTTGCATACTGTCGCAGAGCAAAGTTTGCACAACTTGGTGAAGATGTAGCTCCAAATATGTGAACAACCATTTTGTACTCTTCAAGTTCTTTGCTCCAATCTCCATCTGGCCACCAGAGAAACCTTAAGAGGTCAGAGTCTACCTCTGGGACTCTTACTTGATGAAACATCCCTTCGATATCAGCCATGAAAGCAACAGGTTTCTGTCGAAATCTGGTGAGCACACCAACAAGACTATTGGTCAAGTCAGGACCTTGTAGCAGATGGATGTTCAAACAGGTACCCTGAAAGCTAGCACCACAATCAAATACCACCCTTAGCTTCTGTTTTTTGGGGTGGTAAACACCATGATGTGGTATGTACCAAATCTTCCTGCTCTGGCTTGTCTTAGCCTTGTCTTCAGGAGTTAATTTAACAGCAAAACCTTTGTTTAGGATGTCCGACATGAATGCTTTGTATTCTTCATAGAATTTGCTGTTCTTTGCAAACTTCCTCTTCAAGTTAAGTATCCTCTGTTCAGCTACATATCGATTGTTTGGAAATACAGTGTCATCATTCCTTAGTGGTAGACCAATACTATAATGTCCATTTACCAACTTAATGGACTTGGAGACACTGTCCATGAACAGTCTGTCCTCCTGTGACATTTCAAGGCGCTCCTCGTGTTGACGCTCTGGGAAGTCATTTTCAATTTGCTGTTGCATCACTTCATAAAGCTTGACAACAGAAATTCTACAAGCCATAACAATCTGTTTTCCATCCTTTGTCACATTTGTCTTTCGAAAAGGACCATTTACAGTCCAACCCAATGCAGTTTTAACAGCATATGGTCCATCTTTTTGGCTGCTTATAACTTTCCATGGCTCCAATGCCTTTGGAACATTGCTGCCAATCAGCAAACCAATATCAGCATCAATTTGAGGGAGTTTAACCTCTTTCAGATATGGCCATTGTTCCAGATCCTTTTCTGAAGGAATATTTTCCTTTTTTACAGGGATTTCCGTCTGCATATAAGTATCAGGCAAACCAATGTATTCATTGCTGTCCAAGCTGCATATTTCCAAATCAGACACAGTAGCTGTTTTGATGACTTGCTCTTTATTCATTGTGCGTAAAAGTATGTCAGTTGTCCTTCCAGTCAGTTGTAACTGTCTGAGCAGTGCCTTGGTACAAAAGCAATCAGTACTGCCTGGATCCAGGAAGGCGTTTGTCATGATGGATTTGTTATTTTTTTTATTTTTCACTTTAACAGGCACAATAGCCAGGATGGATTCAGATTCATCAGCCCCCATGTCGATCAATCCTTGTTCTTTATTCTTTATTTCCAACAGACCACTTATGATAGATTTTTCTTTATTGTCTTTGTGAGCAGTTATTGCCTCACTCTTGGTAATATGCAAAGTGGTGGGGTGTTTGAGTAAACACACTTGACATGTTAGCCTTTGAGAACACACTTTGCTCATGTGCCCAGCCTCCAGACATCCAAAACATACCCCTTTTTTCTTGAGGAACTCCAACTTTTCTTTGTGGGCTTTCTTCATTAATTTGGAGCAGGAATTAAGTTTGTGAAACCCATCACAAAATAAACAAAGCTTGCTAGCTCCTTTAATAGCAGATGTACCCAGAGAAGTGTTGC